CCCCGTAGTTCGGCTCGATTCGAAAAGTGAAATAGCCATAGCATCTTTGTAGACGATCAAATTAGCTTACTTTTGTGCTATAACGTAATCTTTTCTTTGCCTTTATCCATTTGATCATCCACATCGATAGAAAGTATTCCGAAATTAGGAAAAACAGGTCTTGTTTCTCACCGGGTGAGAATAGAAGCCTAAGGTGGCAAGTCTCACCCGGGGTGAGAGGTCGATCGTTTCTATTCTCACCCTGGGTGAGAATAGCCGCCTCCTAAAATTTGTTGATTTTTTTTATTGTTCATTTTTTTTGACTGATCTTAGGTTGTCTATGGTCACTTTTGAATTTTCAGAAGGACACCATTTCCCATTTTCTAGGTCTAGTCAGATTGCTCATTTGGATAAGGCCAAAAACTCATATTTCCTCAAAATTCGGGAGGACGTGACATCGCATGGCGTCGGAAAGAATGTATTTGCGCATTTCAGTTTCGCGTGGGTTATTTATTGTTGATCTTAATGTAATTTTGCTACTTTTTTTTAAAAAAGCAATTTGATGATTTGAAAGGAGGAATATTGGAACTTTGACAGACTTTTGTGGAGAAAAATAGAGCTTGATCTAGATCTAGATCTAACCTTCTTGTATCTTGGTCTAGATTATTTGTTGGTTATTTTTTGGCACTTTTTACTATTATTTCTAACTTATGCTTGATGGGCAATTTCAGTCTATTCTTTCTGTGTTGCTTAGTTAGGGTCTAGGCTACTGCCCTACAATCTGTCTTGGTTGAGTTTGGACTATTGGGGTTATAAGATTATACTTTTTTTTTTCCAGGCCTTAGATATTATATATTTCTTTTCTAAATATTTTTCAATTTTGAAGTATTTGATACTAGATCTAGAATGAAGAGTTCACCTACATGTTAATTTCTACACCTTTGCAGGTGAGATCATGTATGATACCATAGGCCTACTGAAACAATGTTCACAGACCTTTTTTTACCCCTTTGCAATTTAGATAATATAGTGTAAAGCGCATAGAGCCTGCTGTTGAGCGGGGATATGCGCTATACAAATGCTATCTATTATTATTATTATTAGATGTATGCTAGAAAAGAAGTGTACATTGTACATCATTTGTCCACTCCTTTCATTTGCAGATGAGGTCCTTCTTGTTGAGGACTTTACCAAGAATAGAAAAAACAACTTAACTTTATGTAGCGAAGTCTGCCCACTTCAGTAAAAGGCAGATGACTCTCCATCCAAGTCTCTCATTACAAAAATGACGACAACCGACTCATGACACACACTACAATGATATATATTCATACCAGACAACATCACCCATGATTTTAACATGGTTAATGACATGACAGTAGGACTTGACAATGTGACAAAACTGAAAGACCCCCACTTTCAAACTCACATCTCTGCAATACAAATAATGTGAGGCATCGTGGTGAAATCAGGCACTTGTCAAAATAGTGAAATTGAAGGAGCGGGCAATTTTCTTCTAGAGTTTGACAATGTTTATGAAAATTTTGTTTTTTGGCTCAACGCCTTTTATGTCCATTCAATCGCAAATATCTTGACTTCTATTCGAGATTAATGGGTATTGTTTTCATCGAAAGCAAGACAAAAATGATTAAGCTTTCAGATGGTACCAATAACCCCACATGCCCAAATTTCAAAGGCCTGATCCGACCGCGTTGTGACACATTTATTTTTAATTAAGCCTTTATGAGGATTTTATTGCTCTTGTGTTTCTTTTCTGTATTCAATTTCCAGTTCAGTGATGTGTGGTTTGTGGTTTTATTTGTATAAATAAGGAATTTACGAGTATTTCTGATAACCCCCCTGATACCACGAAAATCTCAAAATTACTCTGCTTCTGAGGCAAAATAATGCACCTTTCCAAGGGTTAGTGTACACAGTGTTTCTCTTTTTTACCACACACAGTTACTTAATATTCATTTCCCATTGGTTTTATGTGCTTATGTGATGTATTTTTGGCAAAATAACCTTCCAAATTATATTTTTTCCAATTTTCAGGGGAGATAACACAATAATTAAAAATCATTGTTTAGCCCCTAACTTGGCTATCTTTCTGTGAATTTTCATAAAAATCTGTACTCTAGTACATTTTAAATTACTTTTTCATATTACAAAGAGCTCAGGAAAGTTTTGTGCTTTGTTTGACTGTTATAGAATACTATACTTAATTTTTTTATTTTAACTGCATGGTTGTGTAACAAATTGAATAATCTGGATCGACCTCTCACCCCGCGTGAGACTTGCCAGCGTTGGCTATTCTCTCACACGGTGTGAAACAAGACCTGTTTTTTCTCATTTTGGAATACTGTCTATCGGTGTGGATGATCAAATTGACAAAAGCAAAGAGAAAGTGACGTTATAGCACAAAAGTTTAGGTAATTTGATCGTCTACAAAAGTGCTATGGCTATTTCACTTTTCGAATCAAGCGGAACTACACGGGTCGCCATTTTGTTTTGCCCGGAAGTTCTTGCAAGATCTACTCCTCCTCTCTCACTCTCTCTCTCTCTCTCTCTCTCTCTCTGTCTATCGGTGTGGACGATCAAATTTATAAACACAAAGATAAAAAATAATGTAAATTAATTTTGTCACCTACAAAGTAGAGCTGTGCCCTT